GGTTTTTCTTTAAAAATCATTTTCTATTTCTTTCTTATTTTTTACAGGGTCTTAGTCTGTTGCAGGGGCCAGAGTGCAGGGGTGTCATCACAGCTCATTGCAACCTCAAACTCCTGGGCTCAAGAGATTCTCCCACATCACCCTCTTACGGAACTAGGACTACAGGCTCATGTCACCACACCTGGCTAATTTTTTTAAAGTTTTTATAGAGTGGGGGTCCTGCTAGGTTGCTCAGGCTGGTCCCTAACTCCTGGCCTCAAGTGATGCTCCCACCTTGGCCTCCCAAAGTGCTAGCATTACAGGAGTGAGCCTCTGTATCTGGCCTATTTCTCATGTTTCTATAATGAGCATGTATTATTTTATAAGCAGAAAAAAAATTAAGTGGCTATTTGTTTGTTGAATGACTGCCCTAACTGAGAGAGAACAGGGATAGTGTCTCTCCAAGGAGGAGGGATGGAAAGGGATCCAGAGTTGGGGAATGGGAGTGTGGAGCCATCAAAGGAGAACAGGCTGGGGACCAGGGGAAGCCAGATGGAAACCAGTCCTCCACGCAGAGGCTGAGAACAGCTGCAGGGCGGGGCCCTGCGGCTTGCAGAAGGGGGAAATGGGTTGTTGGGCTCAGAGTTTAGGACAACAGCTACTGGAATCAGAAGCCAAAAGGAAGACCTGAGAAGGGATAGTGGTGGGGAGGAGGAGCACGTGGCAGGCAGGGACTTCAGAAAGTGAATCTTTTCCCCTTTTGTCTGGTCAGTGTGACCCAGGACTGGCCTGAACTTGAACCAGGTTTTCTGAAGAACTCAAAATCTGGGGCACCTGTCCAGACTAGGCTGGAGGGCAGGGCAAGATGTGGGGAGGAGGTGGGGCAGAGAAGCAGTGGAGGGCTGGAGGTAGAGTTAGATTGAATAAGAGAAATCTCCTCTCTTCATCTCATCTTTCTAATTTACTCATCACATGGCAGCAAAGTGAAAACTCCATCATTCTGTTGATCCTGGGAAGCCTCACCACGGGGCTTTTGCATATGCTCTTCCCTCCATCTGGAACACTCTTCCTTTTCTTCTGCTACTAAATTTATATTCCTCCTTCAGATCTCAGCACAACCTCATTTCCTCCTGGGTGTCCTGCTGTTCCCTGATTAGATTAAACCCCTCTTATATGCTCTTACTAGCAGGTACTGCTGCTCTTTGTAGCACTTATGATAGCTGCAATCTTACATTTATCTTTGTGATTATTTGGTTAATATTTGTCTCCCTCAACATTCTGCGAACTCCTTAAGGGCAGGGACTGTATCTGTTTATATCTCCCATAGCTAGAACATTGTCTGGCCTTCAGAAGGTGCTTGCTAACCGTCTGTTGAATGAATGAAGAAGGGAAGTTGAAGCTGCTGGACTGGTCCCTAATGCCTGTTTCATCTTGGCCACTTTAGAGCTGCTGAATCAGAAATATTGGTCTCATCCCTCACAAGTTAACTAAGGAAGCAGAGAGAGAGAGAGATCCTGAGCCTTCTCCCCCATCTCTCCAAGAGCTCCCACATATATTCCAGGCCACTAAGCCCCACATTTGATGAGAAAGGACTTGAAGCAGGGGTAAGGTGCTCACTTCAGAGAGTATGAGAGGCAATTGGTAGGGCTTCCAGATTTAACCATGAATTCTGTTTCAGGGTCAGCATATGGCCTGGGGTAGGGGTAAGTAGAGGGAATATAAATTGTCTAGTAGTTCTCATAGCCTCAGCTTAAATGTCACCTCCTCTTAGAAACCACCCTGATTTCCCTCCCCATTACACTCACATTGCTCTCTTCTTCTCAGAACTTACTATGATTTGTAACAAGATTTTTTTTTTTTTTTTTTTTTTTTTTTGAGACAGAGTCTCGCTTTGTTGCCCAGGCTAGAGTGAGTGCCGTGGCGTCAGCCTAGCTCACAGCAACCTCAAACTCCTGGGCTCGAGTGATCCTTCTGCCTCAGCCTCCCGGGTAGCTGGGACTACAGGCATGCGCCACCATGCCCGGCTAATTTTTTTTTTATATATATATCAGTTGGCCAATTAATTTCTTTCTATTTATAGTAGAGACGGGGTCTCGCTCTTGCTCAGGCTGGTTTTTTGAACTCCTGACCTTGAGCAATCCGCCTGCCTCGGCCTCCCAAGAGCTAGGAAGGCCGGATTTTTTTTTTTTTTTTTTTTTGGACACAGAGTCTTGTTCTGTTGCCTAGACAGGAGTGCTGTGGCATCAGCCTAGCTCACAGCAACCTCAAACTCCTGGGCTCAAGGAATCCTCCTGCCTCAGCCTCCCGAGTAGCTGGGACTACAGGCATGTGCCACCATGTCCAGCTAATTTTTTTCTATATATTTTTAGTTGTCCAGATAATTTCTTTCTATTTTTAGTAGAGGTGGGGGTCTCACTCTTGCTCAGGCTGGTCTTGAACTCCCGAGCTCAAATGATCTAACCGCCTCAGCCTCCCAGAGTGGTAGGATTATAGGCCTGAGCCACCACCCCAGCCACAAGATTTTTTTTTTTTTTTGAGACAGAGACTCACTTTGTTGCCCAGGCTAGAGTGAGTGCTGTGGCATCAGCTTAGCTCACAGCAACCTCAAACTCCTGGGCTCAAGCAATCCTTCTGCCTCAGCCTCCTGAATAGCTGGGACTACAGGCATGCGCCACCATGCCTGGCTAATTTTTTTTCTAGATATATTATATTAATTTCTTTCTATTTATAGTAGAGACAGGTATCACTCTTGCTCAGGCTAGTTTGAAACTCCTGACCTCAAGCAATCCGCCCACCTCAGCCTCCCAGAGAGCTAGGATTACAGAAGATTTTTTTTTTAAGTGTGATTTGTGTGTGTAAGTGTGAAGCCTGTGAGTTCAGAGATCATGTCTGCTTATTCACACTTGTAGCCCAGTGTTTAGCATAGGGCCTGGCTCATAGTAGATGCTCAATAAAGATTTGTTAAATGAATGAGTACATGAATGATTTAATGAATAACCTATAGGAAGGCTGGCAAGGCCAGCAGGGAGAAGAGAGATAGCTGGGGTCAAGGAAGGGGCAAGGCCAGCCAGGTGGCTCACACCTGTAATCCCAGCACTTTGGAAGCCCAAGGAGGAGGATCACTTGGGCCCAGATCCCATCTCTACAAAAAATAAAAAAAATTAGCTGGACACATAGTGGCCCACACCTGTAGTCCTAGCTACTTAGGAGGCTGATGCTGGAGGACCACTTGAGCCAGGTGTTTGAGGCTGCAGTGAACTGTCATTAAGCCACTGCACCCCAAAGTGAGAACCTGTCCCTGTCTCTTTAACAAAAAAAAGAAAGAAAGAAAGAAAGAAAAAGAGAGGCAGAAAGGGCAAGCCTTCTGGTTTGTTGCTTTTTTAGGGGCCTTCTAGGAAGCCCTCAGAGTTCCTAAAGGCAGTGACAGGACTATGCATGCCCAGGAGCTGGAATCTCTGCCACACATCAAGATCTCCTAGGCAGCAGGGTTTGGTTGTTGGGGGAAGGAGGAGAGAGAAAGGCCAGAAGCTCAGCATCTACAGCATCTTGGCACATGTGGGCAGCAAGTGACTGACCATCGAGGAGGCAGGGGAAGGTGGCCTGAACTCCTGCATCTCTCCCTGGGCTCCTGGACTCCTCCAGCCTCCTGGCTTCTAGCAGGGAGGCCTGGCCCAGAGCCCAGCCCACTCCCCTCAGACCTACGAAGGTCTTTCCGCTGCAAGTCCCCCTCCTCCTCCACCCGCAGGGGGTTCCTGTCTCAGCAGGAATTCATACCAGATTGAAATGAGCAGCTGGGGTTGTCTGGATGGGAGGGTGCGTGGTGGAGGGCAGCGATCAAAGGCTCTGTGTGTGCGGGGGCGGGGGAGGAAGAGAGTGTGCCCCTGCCCCCCTCCAGCCTGTGCGTGCTGGCTTGCCCACAAATACAAAGAATGAGAGACAGAGAGAGACAGAGGCTCAGAGAAAAAGACAGAATAAATGAAAGACAGGGATATAAAGAAACAGTAACAGAGAAAGAGACTGAGAGAGGCAGAAAAAGACAGACCACAGACATAGATACACAGAGACTGGACACAGAAGGACGGAAGGGCACTAGGAAATGGTGAAAGAAGGAGAAACAGAAAAGAAGTCCAGGACAAGGACAGGGAGGGAGAGACAGAAAAGGAGAAAGAGACTGAGTCTAAGGAAGAGTCACATTTATTCATTCATTCCACATTTATTGAGTGCCTATGCCATGGCAGGCGCAGAAGAAGTAGACACCATGGTAGAGACTAAGATGCAGCAATAAAGACAGAAACTGAGACAGAAATGGAGAGGGAGAGGCAGAGACTGCAAACTGAGACAGAGACCGAGGGAAGGGTGCAGAGAGGGGAGAGAGTGGCAGAGACAAGACTCGAGAAAGGGTAGGATGAGTGGGGGGCAGAGGGCGGAGGACTGGGAAGACCTGTCCTCCCGGTCCCGAGGGCAGCTTTCCCCCCTCAGTCCCATCTCCAGCTGTGCGGCCTCCACTTTCCCCACAGCTGCAGGAGCTCCCTCCCCCCACCCCTTGGCTCTTGCTGGCGAGCTCTGGAGAGGCGCTGACTGCTGACAGCCTCCTCCTTTTCCTCCTCCGGTCCCACGTTTCTCTGCCTGAACCCCAGGTTAGCGTGGAGCCCAGCTCAACTCGCAGGAGGGGGACCAGGAAGTAGATGGCTATAAAAAGCCTCCCCTCCGCCCACCGGGAGACCAGCTTAAGACCATCCTTGGTTCCCAGAGAGCCCTCAGGAGACAGGAAAAGGTGCAGGTGCTGGGGAGGAGGGAGGAGGTTTGAACATGTGGATAGGGCTTTCAGAACAGTTGAGGCACACACCTCTTCCTGCTGGGGTCTGGGTACCAGCCCCCAATACACCCAGACCCCCCTGAAATCTCGAACTGAGGAGAGAAGCCATTTGTAGCAAATGCTGAGCCCTTCCCCCATCTCCTCCCACGTCATCACTGAGAAAATGCCGCAGAGAAGAGGGTGGGCTGCAGAATCAGTCACCTACCCGCTGGTGCCGGGTCTCTGGGCCTGAGAGAAACGCCAGTCCGTGTTGGGCGGGGCTTGCTGTGGAGAAAACAGAAGGAGAGGGGCTGAGTACCATGAGAAGTCAGGATGTCACCTGGTGCCCCTGGAGACGGCAGGAGAGGAGGAGGGGAGTGGGCACAATGAAGAAAATGGGATAAGATGGGGGAGGGGTAGACTCATCTCCAGAGACAAAATATATTCCTTCAGGTCTCACAGGTCTGAGGTACCAGAAACAAAGGGATAAATATCATTTGACCACAGCGAGCAAGCCCAGATTCCTTTGCTAAAGAAATGACCCCTTCCTCCCTGCCTCTAGAGACAGAACTACTTCTGAGCCAAAATTCAGGGGCTAAAGGTGTTTTCTGGGGAACCAGGAAAAGGGGTGCAATGAAGGCCCCCAAAAGTGGCAGAGGAGGCTTTTAAATGAGAATTCCACCAGCCCTAGAAATGAATTTATTCAACTCCTCAGCTGGGAACAAAGCATCCTCTGCAGCAAGATGGCTGCTGCTCCCGGTAACCCTTTCCACGCCAGGCTGTGCAGTGATACATTCAGAGGGACACCTCCCTCAGGCCCTTGGCTCTCAAGGATCTCTTCCCACAGCTAAATACATTATTAATTTAGGAGTCATGCCAGACTGGCCCTTTGCAGGGCATCCAAGTCCCAGGACACTTCTCACCCCCAGAACTCCATGCCAGACAATGGTCTGTAACTAAGGAGGAAAGAACAAGGCTGCTCTGTCTGAGGCAGAAAATGGTTGGGATGGAGGCGGGAGGGATCAAGCTCCCACAGCCTCTAAGCTGAGCCAGCTAAGTTGCCGGGGCTCCCATGGGGCTGATCTGTAGCCATCTCCCACCTGGCTGAAGATGTGAGGCTCTGGCCAGCCACTTTACTCTGTAGTCCCTCATGGGGGAATGTCATCACGTCACGCACACTGCTCATGGAGCACTCCTAGAGCCATCTCCTCACTGGTGCTGGGGTGTGCTGGCAGTTAATACTCACACTTGCTCCCAGGAGCAAAGAGTGTGAGCATGTCAGATGACACTAGGGAGAAGGAAGATCCAGGGCTGCCAGAGACTCACCCTAAGGCTCACAGAGGGCAGTGATGTGAGCAGAACTCAGAAATCTAGCCTCCCAGGTGCCTCAGGGGCACTAGTGCAATTCCATGGAGAAGGGCTCCCGGATGTCCAGCCCTCAGCCCCTGTATCCTTAGACACAGGAGAATCTACATGGAGGTGCAGGTAGCATGATTAGAGGAAAGAGACTCAGACAAAACTCAACCCACATAAGGACAACAGGTCCAGGTTTGTTCAGTGAGGACTGCTCAGGGAGGAGGAGCCCAAGAAGACTTTTCTCATGTCACATCCTAAAAGGGAAAGACCCCACTCCTGTCCCATGCCAGCAGAGGCAAACCCTCTCTCCTGTCCCCAAGCTTTGTAAGTTCCAAGTGCTAAGTGATTAAAAGCACAAATTCTAGAGTTACACAGACCAGAGTTAGACTGACTCTCTATCTCTTGCTCTATGAACTTCAGCAAGCCACTTGACCTCTGTAAACTGTTATAAGATGGAAATGTTAGTACCTACCCAACAACAGTGGTGGGAAGAGCAAACGAGATGTTGTGGTTCTCGGGGGTGTACAGTAAGGCTCTCTCAATCAGCTGCCAAATCGCCTGGGAGTGTTTCAAATACTAACTCTGATTCAGTAGGGGTAGAGCTAGGCATAGGTACATTTTGAATAAAAGTTCCTGGGGTTGTCGGAACTTGTGTTTTTTACTATTATAGTTTCCCCACGTATAAGGACACCCTGGCATCTGGCAGTGGCTGTGGCCTTCCATCTGCCACAGGAGAAAGGACTTGCCAGAGTCTCAAATACTTTGGTAACCTCCAAAGCCCTGACACTAGATCACTGGACACATTGTGGTCATGACGGAGCCAAAAGCCTGTCTCTGAGCGCCCCGAGCCCAGGTGCTCCAGGCTGCCACTTCTCCGGAAGGAAGGGGCCACTGGTGCCACTGGAGTCCCAGGTCTGCTGTCCTATAGAGGCCTGCTCACTCACACAAGGCCGAGCTCCGACACACCTTGGGCCACAGATTCTGGACTGAGGGGCCTCCGCCTTCTGTACAGAGCTCTGGGGCTGGGCGGGACAGCTGGCCCATGGGTCATAGAGTCCCACCTCCCTAGAGACCCAAGAGTCGCTCCAGCGCTCCCAGCGCTGCCTGGGCTGCCTGCCAGGCCGGCTGCCAGCCCAGGACGTGGATGGGAGGAGGCTTCGGGGGTCCTAACCTTGTCCTGGCGGCCGTGACCTGGGACCCTCACCAGGGCGCGCACAGTCAGCCGCGAGTACCTCCGAGGTCGGCGGAGGAGGGCTGTGAGTGGGCCGAGGACAGTCGGTGTGAACCTGGTGGCGTGCGAGTGGCAGTGAGCGCTGGTGTGCGTGCAAGCCCAAGTGCGTGGGGTGTGTGCGTGCGCGCGCTTGTGTTGGTGAGGCACGGCCAGCCCGCGCGCCGGGTGTAGCCATGGGTGTGGTCTGCGGGGAGGACACACGTGAGCCCTGAGCGCGCACCTAAGTCCTGGCGACAGATGCGGTTGGGCAGCGCGGGGGTGGGGAGGCTTGAGGGTAACAGCGACGTTACAGATTGAGGAGTGGGGAGAAACCAAGGAGGAAACCTAAAGACCGGCGGATCGCGCAGGAGCCAGTGCCCAGGAGGCTGGCCGCAGGCAGGGGTGGATCTGTGACTGCCTCCACCTGGGACCCCAACACCCGCGGAAATTGCCAGACATTCACTGGAAGCTCGATGGGACCCCAGCCTTTTCTGAGTGTGGAGGCGGGGTCAGTCCCACCTCCTCTCGCCCACAATCGCTACCACCTCCCAGTGCTACCACCTCCCAGTGCTCGGAGTCCCATCCCGCCTCCGCCACTCCTCTGGTTCCGCGCAATTAGTCCAATGGTCCCGAGCGAGGGCAGCCAGCGACCGAACCAGCCAAGAGGCGTGGATGCAAGTTCAGAGTCCCTTAGGAGGACCGGTGGCTTCTCCAATGCCGCCCCCAGGGGTCGCCCGGGGCGACACCGAGCCCCTCACCTGGCTCGGCTCCCGCAGCGTATTAGAGCGGGACCTGAAGGCGTCAGGCTCCAGCGCCAGAGCTGAGGGCTGCTGAACGCTAAGGGGCCTTAGAAAAGTGAAGTCACTGCCATCCGAGGCCGGTGAAAAGCACGTCCTGTAGCAATGGCTGCGGGAGTCTGTGGGCCGCAGCGTCACCTCCATATACTTGAGCGTGCCATCTGAGCTCACTTGCAAGTTGGGGCTGGACTGCTTGTAGAAGTCCGGGGAGGGAGAGTCCTGGCGTCTGCAGCACTGGCCCCCACCCCCGTCCCCATCTGCGTGCCCCTGAAGGCACTTAGCTGACATAAAGGTGAAGGTGACTAAAGATAAGAGACTGACGGTTGCTAGAGCCACAATGAGGTAAAGGGTAAGGTCTGAACGCTCAGGAGGGCTTGTGAGGAAGTCACTGGATTTGGGCACTTCCTCAGGGTTCTCATCCTCCAGAACCAGCAGTACTGTGGCTGTAGAGGAGAGTGAAGGGTCACCGTTGTCTCTCACCAGGACCACCACCTGCTGGGTGTCAGAGTCATCCTCCAGTAAAGCCCGGGCTGTGCGCACCTCGCCAGTGTGGGTAGACACCAGGAACAGTCCAGGGGCTGTGGACTGTGGCAACAGTGAATAGGAGAGCCATGCATTGTGGCCTGCATCAGCATCCACGGCTGTCACCTTGGTGACCAAGGAGCCAGGAGGAGCAGAGCGAGGGAGACGCTGGGGGGCTGAGTGTTCCCGGCCTGGCCGTGGGTGCAAGACAGCTGGGGCATTATCATTCTGGTCTAGGACAAACACATGCAGAGATGTGTTGGCATGCAGTGGGGGAGAGCCGGAGTCTCGAACCCCCACCACAATCTGCAGCATCTGCAGCAACTCATAGTCAAAGGTACGCTGGGCAAAGACCCTTCCATCCTCAGGGTTGACATATACAAAGGAGGAGGCTGGGGCTCCCTGAACCTGACTTCCTACAATGGAGTAGGTGAGCCGGGCATTATCCCCAGTGTCTGCATCTGAGGCAGCCACGGTGCAGAGAAGGGAGCCTGGAGGCCGGTTTTCTGGGATGTAAGCAGTGTAGAGTTGCTGGATGAACTGGGGCGCATTGTCATTAACGTCTGAAATGTTGAGCCTGATAGTGAGATGTTTGTGCAGGGGAGGTGAGCCAGCATCGCTGGCCAGCAGCTCGATGATATAGTGGGATGTGACCTCCCGGTCCAAGGGCTGGCTGGTTAGCAGTGAGTAGTGGTTCTCAGAAGGCTTTATCTGAAACGGCAGGTCTGGAGAGATAGCAAGGCTCACTTCACCATTTCTACCCGAGTCTCGGTCCCGCACATTAAACAACCCCACCACTGTGCCCACTGGCGTGCTCTCCAGGACGGGGTTCACCAAAGAGGCCAGTAGCACCTCTGGGGCATTGTCATTGGCGTCCCCCACATCCACTTGAATCACACAGTGGCCCTCCATGGCTGGCTGTCCCTGGTCACGGGCTTTTGCATGAATTTCATAGAAACTTGACTCCTCAAAGTCTATGGGACCCAACACATGGATTGCTCCACTGCTGGGGTCTAGGCCAAAGAGATTCCGCACTGCCTCAGAGGTATGGTCTCCAAAAGAATAGTCTAGTTGGCCATTTGTGCCCTCGTCTGGATCAGTGGCATTGAGGCGAAGCAGCAGTGTGCCCATAGGAGTATTCTCTGGGAGTCCCACACGTAGAACAGAGGACTGGAAGGTTGGAGCATTATCATTGACATCGAGCACGATGACAGAGATTAGGGTGGTCCCTGAGCAGGCTGGGGTACCCCCATCCACAGCAGTGAGCACCAGCTGATGTCTTGCCTGGGCTTCCCGATCCAACTGCTGCTCTAGCACCAGCTCTGGGAACAGCTTCCCATCTTTTAGGGTCTTCACATTCAGAGAGAAGTGGCTGTTGGGGCTGAGAGTGTAAAAGCTCA